CACATATATATATATATATATATATATATATATATATATATTTTGATATTAAAAAATAACGAAACAAAAATAATTTTTAGTGTTAAATCATTTATTTTAAGCCTTCAAAATTTTTTTTTTACTTTAAATAACTCAATACTAATTTTATCAATCATACTTGTTTTTAGGTACTCCTTCAAATAAACCTTGTGATACTAATTTAAATAACCATTTAGATCTAATTCAATCTCAAAAGTTACCTTAAAGAAAGAATAATTCAAGTCTTATAAAAAGTATTTGAATCCTATTTGATGTAAGACATCTTAACAGAAATTAAGTTTAAAAAGTTGTGTTTTATTTTATCCCTGGAATAGGAAAATAAATGGTGTATGATATGCATTTAGCTGTTAAATTTTGATAGCCTATTGCCTTTCAAATGGTTTGACAGCCATAAGAACAGCAGATTGTACCTTGCGGATCAGGCAACACCAAAGAACAAAAGCAACTAATAGCAGCAGCACAAATACAAGTTCATTTCTACTGGCACTAACCACCGACACAATGTCCACAATAATCAATTAACATTTGAGCAACCTTCATCTCTGCAGTGCAGAACCATAAAAACCATTAAGCTGTGAAAATTGAATAACAACAGTGGAAGGCAATAAAGATAAACAGCACAAAATAAATTAAGAGAGTGATAGAAACAAGTTTATTGCAATACAAGGCATTTCCAAACAACAATGAAGTTAAGCCTGTTTGAGAAAAAAGGAAGAGTATGTTTAACAGACACATTAGAACATGCCACAATAAGACATGGTGTTTTATTTTCTGTTTAGTAAAAGGAAAAGCAAAACAAAACCTTTTTGTTTCATTCTGTTCAGTTCCTGTGCTAAAACTTATTGCAACATAAAGAGGACCACATAGCCATTGATCAAAAACTATTCGGAAACTTTAAAAAACTGTGCAGAGCTAGACACTACTAATCAAGCTAAGGATCAAAGTATCAATTGCTTAATGACTGGGTTTTGAATTTTCAACTGTTGAATTTAAATGTTAAATTAATAATAATAAAGAGAATTACAATTTTTTAATCTCTCACTTATTTTTAATCATTTTTTATGCATGCATTCCAATTTATTTTTAAAAAATACCTTCAAGTGCCATATTTGGTGGTTCAAAAGATATTTTTCTAATCTTGAATTTGTTGCTGTGGTAACAATGGGTTTAATTAGATTTTTATTCTTGAATGGATAGATAGATATTAAATAATTTCTTATTGTGATTTTTTTGTCTTTAATATTTATACATTACCAAAACTGTGTTTTTAGTCTTTAGTGAGAGATTAAAAAACTTGTTTATATTTTTAAGTTAGAGACTAAATATATGTAGGAATTGAATAGGTCATATTTTATTAAAAAAAATAGTTTTCCATAAAAAAAGTCATATTCTAATTAAGCGAAAAACAATATTGGATTGTATGAAATCATAAAAATGGCCCAACAGCTCAGAACATCCGTACATATAACATATGATATGTCCATGGCTCCCCACAGAAGGGAAAAAAAAAATTGTCCATGGTTGAAACTAGTTCTCAAATTAGAGATGAGAGAACACATAGATTTCACTATGCTGTATACCTTTCTGAAAGCAAGCAATCAGCTGCCCACCCTTATCAGTTATCATTAGAACTTGCAAGAATTGTGTTATACGAAGATACCAAGACAACAACTAAAACGAGTTCGTCATGATTAATATAATAGCATGCCTAGTAAGAATAAAAACACCAGATTTGGAATGCTTCTTCCTATATTTCAGTTGTAACCTCTTGAAACGAGCTTGCTTTCCCCTTTTTTCCTGATTAACGTTTTGCAGGCAAAGATCATCTCTTCTAGGTACGTGATCGTCATGCCTAGAACTTACGTGTATAAAAAAGCGAACCTTAATATGCGGTGTATGTTAACCCTTGCATTTCTGATTTCATTTGATTCACTTGCATCGCCCAAGTTCACATAATGGAGAAAGGAAAAGTTACATGGGTGTTTATTGGGTGTATTTATGATTTCTGAAAGCTTTGATTATAACGAGAAAGATTTGGAGTCTGAAGATCGTAAAAGTCCCAGTGTTTGACGATCTTGCCGAGAAGAATGCGCGTTTCAATGTTTTCAAGGAGAACTTGAAGCACGGGCACAAGGTGAACAAGATGAAGAGGTCCTACAAGTTGAAATTGAACCAGTTTGCAGACATGACCCATCACGAGTTTGTTATCTCCTACCCACCAGTGTTTATCAAAAGGCAAGTCTAGTTATTTTATGCAAGTCATGTTTTCTAAATTTATAATTAAAAATCCTGTATCACCGTATAATTCCAATGTTTATGTTAAGAAAAGTGATTTATAATAGAAATATAATTGATGTTGTTAAATTGTGCAATTGTAGGGAGTGGTCAATGGGTCTTGTGGCGCACAATTAAATCATGAAGTAGAAGTGGTGGCGTATGGTATACCACATGATGGAACCAAAGTATTGGGATGGCGAAGAACTCGTGGGGAAGTGAATGGGGGAGAAAATGGGTATATGAGGATGCTACATGGCGTGGAAGTTAAAGAAGGATTGGATATGATTATGTGGGATAGCTATGGAGGCTTCTAATCCAATTAAGTCGTCCCCAAATATCATCTGAGCAACCTTAGAAGGCAATCACAACAACGATGAACCCTAAATAGTTAATGCGTCAATGCATGTTTCAAGTCGTCACTTTTTGTGAACGTGATATGTAAGCAATTGACCCAATAAATAAATCCTTATGTGATAATTTAAATGATACTGTGCTCTCTTTATTAAGTATTTTGCATCATCTTAATAATTAAAAATGTAAAAGTTGTATATCTAAACAAATTGTAAATGTTAAATATTAGAAAGATATAAAAGAATATTATAGAAAATAAACTAGAAAACAAAAATGAATTCAACAATAATAATATAATGAAAAAGACTGAACGAATGCAGGTGGAATTACATGACTGGTTAAGTAATAATTTAATTAACAAATGAATGGAGAGTAGGAAATTGATGAAAATCAAACCACATTGTTATGGTAACGATTTTTCTCATCCCTTTCAGATTATTTGACATTTACCTTTTATATTTAATAAATTACACGTTTGCTATATATACATAACTATCATATTTGATGAATATATTTAAATAAATTGGAAATTCTACATTTAATTTATATCAATTGAAAGAAAATTATATTTCTTACATGCATTATAGAGAATTCTAAGCACCTATCCACATCTCTCATGCTAAAAAAATCTAAAATATTTAGGATATGTTTGTTTTTAATTTTATTGGAAATAAACATACTCTTAGTGATTAAAGAGATCTATTATTAAAAAATTTTACCTAGTGATTTCGCTTTACAAGTATTCTCACCTTTTCCTCAATTTGGACACAACCTAAAGTTTATTAGTGGGCCTTGAAGATACTTGAAGATAAATATTTTTAAAATTATGGGATCAGTAATTATTTTAATTTTTTCTTTAAATTTTAGCAAATTTTTTAAATTTTAAAACCCTGCTATCCCAATTCTCTCTCTCTTTTTTTTTTATACTTTTAAATTAAAGTTTTCAATTTATTCTTCATAAATGTAATTTATGCATATTAGTATATATATTTGTTATACTTCATTTATATTTCCTAAATTATATTTTTATGTTAAAAAATATCAACTAATATTTTACAAGTACAAATTAAAAATATTATTTTATATAAAATATAATAATATACTATTTATTAACTTTTAATACACTACTAAATATATTTGAATAAAAATGTTTATAAAATAATATTTCCTAATTTCATTTTTTAATTTTTTATTTTAATATATAATCTTTATTTATGGTTTTTGTTTTGGTTTAATTTGTTAATATTTTTTACTTTATTTTTAGATGTCAATCAAATAAAATTTTTAATTATATTATGTTATATTAATTATTAATTTATCATTTTCTGTTAGTTTTGGTGCGACACCATCTTAATCAATTTTTTTCTCTTTCTGTCTGTTTGACAGTTACGTGACTAAAACTTAAAATTTACTTAATTAACATTTAAAATATTTTAAAGAACCAAATTAAAATAATAAATTTTAAAAAAATGAAATAAAATAAAATAAAAAGTTAAAAACTAATAGAAAAACTAATAAAATAAAATAAAACTGGCATTAAAAATAATAAATCAAAGTATTAATTTTAGCAAAATATATTTATTAATTTTTTAAAACTAATAGAAAAACGCTAACAGGACCCTTAAATTAGAAACTACCGACATGGAGGATTATGAATTGAGCGTGCCAAGCAGTCGGAAAGAAAAAGGTTGGCGTGTAAGAAAGAAAGCACTTAGTATTCTTGTTGGGTGGGTCCCCACAGCCCCATTTGTTATTTTGTTTTGTAACATTTGCACCAAAAATATAGCCATTCTTCGCCTTTGGGGGGCAACCAAAAATGTTATCAGGACAAAAGTTAGGTCAAGTTATTTAAGTATTTATACTGTTCTTATATTAAATTAATTATTTTTTATTTAGGGTAAAATTTTAGATAATTTTATAAGTATTCTTCGTACTTACTTGAAACTAATTTTATCTTAATAATTTATGATAATTTTAAAGCTAAATTTTACTGAGTAATAAAATTTTAGTATTGATGAAAAATTATATTAAATGTATGTACATAATCGTCTAAATTTTGTTCAACTTATCGTTACTTCTTCTTTTTGTTCTGAATAAAAATATAAGTAAGAATGATCAATATTATTTTAAAATTTCAATTTAATAAATTATTAAATAAGATTTAAAGAAGAATAATAATTAAAAGATAAACATCAACTATAGTTTTCAGGATATTAATTAACAAAATTCGTAAAGTATTATTAATATATTTGTATTCTGATTTTAATATACTTCTTTTGATAATAACTAACTAGGCTTACTAACTTAAATTGAGAGTAACGAAAGAAAAAGGAAGGAACAGACCGAGAGATAGAGACAGAAGGGAGGGTCCGTTGTTTGATTGCGAAGAAAAGCATCTTTGGGAATCGAAAAGAATTAAGATAGAGTTAATGGGACCTGCTTTGCATTTGCAGTGTTGAGTTTGTAGTTGAAAGCTTGAAATGGGTGTAGCAATCACCTTTATCAACCATTCCCATTTGTCCATTCCCTCCTTTCACTTGGGATCAAAGTCTGCATCAACATCATCCTTTCCCTCACCGACACCTTCTTCTTCCTCCTTATTGCGCTTCTCACAGCGCTCTTCATGACCATGATCCTCTGCCTTACAATCGGATCTCAGTCGCAGATCCAAATCCAACAACGTTCACCGTCACCTCCACTTTTCTCCTCTTTCTCATGGACCCCTCTACTTCTCGTCCTGCTGTAGTCATCGACAATGGCTCCGGGTACCCTTTTCCTCATTAACATCACCCGCTTTTTTTTTCGACGCTTTTTTATTTCTTCTTCTTTTTATCCGTGTATGGACACCACGTGTTTGTTGCAATGCCTCAATGTGTTTTGTGACTACAATTTTCTGTAATATTGATTGACCCGAATTGGGTTTGCCCTGAATCTGGAAAATGATGGTTTTTTTGCAGGTACACGAAGATGGGGTTTGCTGGTAATGTTGAGCCATGTTTTATTGTCCCGACAGTGGTTGCAGTGAATGAGACGTTTCTGAATCAATCGAGGCCCTCTTCCAAAGGCAATTGGGTAACCCAGCACAACGCCGGGGTTATGGCGGATCTTGATTTCTTCATTGGGGATGAGGCGCTTTCCAAGTCACGATCAAGCAGCACTTACAATCTCAGCTACCCGATTCGGCATGGCCAGGTGGAGAATTGGGATGCCATGGAGCGCTTCTGGCAGCAGTGCATATTCAACTATTTGAGGTGTGATCCGGAGGATCACTATTTTCTCTTGACCGAGAGTCCATTGACGGCACCTGAGAGTCGCGAGTATACTGGAGAAATCATGTTTGAGACTTTTAATGTACCTGGACTTTACATTGCTGTGAATTCTGTGCTTGCTCTTGCAGCTGGCTACACAACATCCAAGGTTGGTAGTTGGTGCACGTGAAAAAGATTGGGAATTACATCGAATATAGATTGAAATTGGATGATTAATCTTGAAAGGTTTAAATATTTAATATGGCCTCAGCAGCAAGTTGGGTAGGTACAAAACATGTAGAATGCTTTACCAGCCCGTGCAACTTGATGTTCTGGATGCTTTCACTTGAAACAAAAAGTGGAAGACAATGTAGAGTGTTGATTGTTGTAAAGATTTTGCATTATTACAAGCGCACATGATAATTTATCAACTCCTCATTTTGTTGAATGTAAACTTCTATGTTGGTTCTATTTAAAACTTGATAACAGTACCAGTGGAGCTATTGGAAAAATTGTTTCTTTTTTCTTACTATATCTATCTTTTATATTAAAGAATATTTTACTTTTATGCTGATCTAGATTCTTCTTAGTGTGAGATGACAGGAGTTGTAGTGGATGTTGGAGATGGGGCTACTCATGTTGTACCTGTTGCAGATGGTTATGTAATTGGTAGTAGCATCAAATCGATTCCCATTGCCGGAAAGGACGTTACCCTTTTTGTGCAGCAGCTTATGCGGGTGGGTGTGCCTGCTATTTGTTCCCATATTTGAATATCTGTGAATCAGCAAACCTATTCTTGTTAATGTTGAAGGATCTCATATTACCATAATGCCATTGACACTAGCTAGTAAAAGCATTAATGTATAAATAGCTAATGGTGGATGGACAAGCCAAGATATATTTATGATAATATTATTGTTACATTTTAAATAGTTAATTAGAGGTGAAGTTTACTTATTTCATAACTGAGTATGAATCTTTTTCTTGTATTCTGCTATTTATACTGACTGGTAATGTAATCTGTATCCAATTTTCAACCTGCATTTTGATAATACTGATTCACGAACTGTCTCAAGTTTACATGGTTTCTTTCAGGAAAGAGGAGAAAATGTACCACCTGAAGATTCTTTTGAAGTAGCTCGGAAAGTAAAGGAAACATATTGCTACACCTGCTCTGACATTGTGAAGGTTGCTTTTAGTTCAATAGTTGGTGCTTTCATAATCATTTGAAGAATATGTGGTGTGCCCCCACAATAGTTTTGTGCCTCTGTCATTAGGATGCTGAATGTCAAAGATTCTCATTACTTAAGCTTGCTTTTCTTTTTGTGAATTAAAAGGATGTGAAGTTATCTTTCGAACTTATTAGTTTTCCTGTATAACAATAGATCAATTTCTCCCAGGAATATAATAAGCATGACAAGGAACCAGCCAAGTATATCAAGCAATGGAGAGGCATTAAACCAAAGACAGGGGCACCATATTCCTGTGATATTGGCTATGAACGATTTCTTGGCCCTGAGGTTTGTCATAGATCTTTAGATTTTCTCTTTTATGAATTGCTAAATCTGTCATAGAAGGTATCTGGATTGAAGATATTTATATCAACTATGTTGAATACTCATTTTTAGTATGATTTTTCCATTGTGATGAATTAATTAAATATACACTAATTGATTTCTAACTTGCTATCTTGAATATCTATCTGAATTAAAGGGTTGTTCATAGGAAAATGGTAAAGTGATATTATATGCATTTGCTTTGCTCTGATACCTTCTCATTTGAAGGTCAGAGTTCTTTCCCTTTCCTTTGGGTTATAAAGAGGTCCAAGATTTAGTATGGGGAGTGGGAAGGATGGTTTAAGTGCGGGCAGTGTAGCCTGGCTGGGATTTGAACCTAGGATCAACTGATGAAGCAATCTGTAGTCTTGGTATAAGTTAGCTATAGCTATTACTATTAGTAGTTGGTACTTGACATTGTTAAGTTTGTTCCTTAAACTACTGAATAATTCACGTAAATGTAGTATTGTCTTGGTGTAATTGTGGAACTATAGGTTCAGCTAGGGTCATTATATCAACATGATTGGCCAATTTAACATTTCTGTATGTTTTCCAAATTATTTCTGCAGATTTTCTTTAATCCTGAGATATATGGCAGCGACTTTACCACCCCTTTGCCAGTAGTAATAGACAAGTGCATTCAGTCTGCCCCAATTGACACAAGAAGATCATTATATAAGGTGAAGTACCTTTACTTATTGACATGCATATAAATATGGCCCCAAGTATGCTATTAAATTTTAGGGAATAGTCACATTTTCCCATAAAATTAGGGAACTTCTAAGGTTCAGCGTTAAGCATGAGGCAGTTTTTGTTGTTGGCCTAGATGTCATAAATTAGTGTCAAGCTGCATCAGTCCACCAGCCATCCCAGATACTTAATTTTGAAACTTATAAATTTCACACTCTCTAGTTTATATTTTCTTAATGATTGAACTCTAGATCTCCAGTCTTTACCAGTTGCAGACTTGCCAATTTTGTTTTTTTATTTATTTCAGAATGTGGTGTTGTCGGGTGGATCAACCATGTTCAAGGATTTTCACAGAAGGTTGCAACGTGATCTAAAGAAAATAGTGGATGCTCGTGTCCTTTCAAATGAAGCACGTTTAAATGGGGAGATAAAGGTACGAGTTGATACATAGTTTCAAACCATGGAATTGATGATTCAGCCTCCTCCCCTTCCCTCTCATGCAGACAAAAAATTCTTATATAAACTTTATTTATATACACAAATGTATGTACTAAACTAATCAACAATCTATACATCATTATTTTGTATTTAAATAATTACATTAATCCCTTCTTTGCATAATTATTTTGGATTTAAATAAGGATGTGTTGGTTTTCGATTGGTTTGGTTACAGAATTTGGGCTGACAAAGTGTAAACAAGTATCTCTCCCCCGAGACAAAATTGTCTCATTGATGTATTTATATGTATGCTCTGACCGCTATATATTTATTGCCTTGCTTTGGCATTTACTTTTGTCATTTCATTTATGTGGAGCCTCAGTCACAGCCAGTGGAGGTAAATGTACTCAGTCATCCTATCCAGAGATTTGCAGTTTGGTTTGGAGGTTCAGTGCTTGCATCAACACCTGAGTTTTTTACGGTATGTATTTCTGATGTTATTTTTTGAGGTTAAGAGGCTCATGCTTGCATCCGGCGATCTCTACATTTGTGTTTAACATGTTTCCATGTCATGACTTACAAGTACTGTGTCCAAAATGAAAGCAAAGCTAGCCTATGTTTTAAAATTTCTGCCCCCTATGTGCAGGCTTGTCATACAAAAGCAGAATATGAGGAGTATGGAGCAAGCATTTGCCGGACAAATCCTGTTTTCAAGGGAATGTATTAAAGCAACGACAAATTAGTTGTGATCATGGATGCAGTTACTTGATGAAAATGTCGAATAATGTCTGGTTATTTTGATCCTCAATTCACCTCCTTGTCTTTCTTCCCACCTGTATTGAGGGTGGCAGAGATGAGTGTAAAATATGTACATTCAGTGAAAAAATTGCATTTCCAGTTTCTATATTCCTGAGGTTCACCCTAGGCTGTCAGTTTCACATGTTTATTGCGTTTGCCAGCTTGTTCAGACGGCACTTAATGGTTAGATTGAAACTCATCTTTGACAAAAAGTTGGCTGAGCCGAATTGCAAATTTTGGAGCTTAGAGTTTGATAAGTTTCTGCATATTTTTCATTTACTATTAGTATCTTTCCATTCAGTACTTTTATAGTTAGGAAGATAAATTCATTGGGATTGAATTGTAATACATAATAAGCACCAGTGCAGGGGGTTAGATAATAGATTGTTTTTGTGAATCACTTACTTTTGGGTACATAATGTACAATGTGGATTCTGCTTAATGATAGTCAAAGCCTGAAACAATTCTTTTGTCACGATGACTATTTGTGATTTGTAATGTACTTTCCTGTCAAGTAATTTGAAATTTTTCTCCAACATATGTGATATTACCATTTTCTTCTTTCTAGTGGCAAATTCTGTGTTGGTGAAAGTGGTTGAAGGCCTTGCCACTTGAATCCTTTATTCTCTTGCATCTTTCATTGTCAGTAAAAGTGATTCAATTAAAATTAAAATAATTGTTTAATTTTTCAAGAGGCATTGTATCAGTAATATCATGAAAGTCAATAAATTAAATATTTTGTTTAAGATAAATTTCTTTCAATACTTTCTTCATCTAAATCTTTTTATAAGTAACATGTTTAATAAATTTTGATATTTATACTAAAAAAATAATTATAAAGCTTTACTATTAAAAAGTTTCGGTAAATGAGAAGACATTCAATCTTTTTCATCCCAAGTTGACCTATGAGGGGTTGGCATTTAGAAGACACGTCTGAAAGTTAAGTTTTTTTGATGAAAAAAGAAGAATGAATCTATTTTTAAAATTAAAAGTTATATAATATTTATAAAAAAACAAAAGAATAACATATTTCTACCATAATTTATTTTTTTTATTTTAAGAAATCAATTAAAAAATATATTTATTGGAAATAAAAAATTATTTCTTTCTTTACTTCTCTTTCTAAAACTTGACATCCAAAGATATATTAAGATTGTGCACCGCTAACTACTTTATTTGAAAAAATTGTAGTTATTGCGATCAGAGAATTTTATATCACAACTTAAGCAAATTATTTTATTTTTAACAATTTTATAATTTTAAAATAGAGTGAGTGTTTACCATAAATATATCTCCCACCAAAAATGGAAAGCCTAACAGTACGTGAGAAGATAATGGGCCGAGCCTGGGCCTGCCGGTGGATCTGAGCCCAAATAAAACTGCGCATCGCGTTCCCCTTTCCACGTTTTTGGCAGAGGAAGCAGAAGAGTGGATAGGAGGGATTGGAATCGGAATTGCAGGATGGTGAGAGTGGCAACGTACTTCGCGATGACGCTCGGTGCTTTCGTCTTCTGGCAATCCATGGACAAGATTCATGTCTGGATCGCTCTTCATCAGGACGAGAAGGTTCCTTCCCTTCTCTTTTCTCTCAATCACCTTCTCCAATTTCATTTTCGTCAAGATTATCATTTAACAAATTATGGTTATTTCAGTTAATTTTTCATAATATGTTGCAGAGAGAAAGGATGGAGAAGGAAGCAGAGATCAGAAGGGTCAGAGAAGAGCTGTTGCGGCAACAGGCCAATCAGAAGGATTCTCTTTCTTAAATTTGAATATGTTGTAATTTTGCTTTTCCAGTGCAATGTTATGTGTTCCAATAAAATCCGGTACTAGGTAACATTCAAATTCAATTGCGTGGATTTCTAATGCGTTCCTTTACAGATGCACTTGTTTAGTAAAATGCTACGTGTCTGTAATTGTTCAAACCCTTGGCTTTTTTTTTTTTTTTTTTTGGTATGCATATTGGCCCTTGGCTTAAGTTATGAACCAGATTTTGAACCTTTATTCTTCTTTGAAAGCATGAAATTTGGAATTCAACGTAGTTGCGGATCACTTGTTGAATGGTTTGGAATTTAAGTCTCTAAATTCTCTAGTTTGCCGATCTGGCTGTGGAGCATAATTCATTTGCTCCTTCTGCTCCTGAATACATCCTTATTTGTGCTACAATCCTCTCATTTAGTTTAGATATATAAGTATAGCTGGACATATTACCTTGCTTAAAAATCAATTGTAGATTGGAGAATTAGTATTCAACCATTGACTACTGCCATTTTCTAGTTTCTACCCCTTCCTTTTATTTGTTTTACAGAATTTTGGTGGTTAAATTGACAAATTATGAAGAATTGGCAATATTAACTTCAATAAGCAGGTGTCAGCTTAATGTTTTTTACATTCTTAACTCTTGCTAAGGTCCTGACATTATTGCAATCATAGGCAAGTGCTTGGAGTAGAGGTAGATCTTACTGGTGTCCAGAATAGGAGATTTTAAACAGAATAGTGACTACTGAATAGTGGGATATGGTGCGGCTATTGTGCTATGGCTGAGCGTAGAAGCTGCACCTTTAGTGAATAGAACAATGGTGCCAATTGCCACTATAGGGTTATTTTACCTTTGATAAAACTCAGTTGTTTGCATTCTCTGTCCAACCGGCCTCCGTTTACACTTTGCTGGCCTGTTCTGTCCTACCTCTGCTCCATTCATAGAACCTTGTGGTATGACGAAATTGTCCCAATGAGTGTTATTGTCTTGGTACGTTTTACAGAAATGTGCTTGGTTAAAATTGATTACTCTTTTGCTGCTAGTTAGTCATGCCTTAAATGATTGCGTGTTTAAGTGCTGACTTTGATTACCAATGGTGGATATGTCTATTTGTTTGTGTGTTTATATGTATATATGTGTCTGTTTGTGTGTAGTATAAATTATTTGCATTTTATCTTTTATATTCGCTATAGCAGCTATCCTTTTATCTGCCACCCTGTTGTGACATTTTGGGGCTGCTTCAGGCCACTACCAAAGAAGTCTGAGAGACAACTCTCTTGTTAAGTAGTATTTTAATTCAGTCCAAGACTTTTATCGTTATGTATACCATATGTTACAATTTAATTGAACTGAATTGTTGCATAAGAAATGCTCCAATAGGGAGAGTAACTTTCTGCATGTGGTATAGTATCTGTGTTTCTGTTGATGGTTAATGCTATGGTAGGGTAGCTACATTTAAATCATGTATGCCGTAAACTTTTGGTGGCCGTAAGCTTTTGCTGGATTTTACCTGTTGAATGTAATCATGAATTTGTTATGGATCTTCCTCGTGTCTGTGGAACAAGTGAAAATAAGATGTTACGTTGAGTTCTCTCTGGACATGTACTTTTCACATTTTGCTGCAGAATATTACGTTCTTTCCCTTCACAAGTGATCAGTGGTTAAGGTGAAACTCTAACTCCCTCGCTGCCTTGTATATGGAAAATATCTTTCGCAAGGGTGAAATGTGATCGATAGCTGATGTCTTAGTGCATGTTAATACTGAAAATTTCATTATTTCCCTCCACAAATGAAAGATTTCAGTCGTGGAAGTGATAAACTCTAGTTTGTTGCCTTGTGTATTGCAATTACCTCTTGCAAGTGTGGAATGTGATGGATGACTGATGTCCATAGTGTTTGTTAATACTAAGGAAAAAGGATTGCCCTTTTCCAAATCGTGAGAGGAAAAACTCAAATGCACAAATTTTCATCTCCTGGCCCTTTTTTGTTCAGGTCAATAACTTGCGGCCTTTGATTTATGATGTTTTCGGTCCTCCTGGGTGTTTGTATCGTACCTGCTTTTGGGCAAGCTAAATAAATTAACCCCTGCTTCCAAGTGTTTTCTCTAGTAGTTGCCACTTCGTTTACCAAGAATATAAGCACAAACTATGTAGTAAACTTTATAGTCTCATAACATGAACCATAAAAATAACAATCGCATATGATTTTGTACATAATTTTTTCTTGTCTCACTTATTTTTATTATTTTTGTATATACGTATCTCAAAGGTACATTTTATTTACAAAGAAGATGCCTTTCATATTTGATGGTTCAAAAAATTATGTTCCGAAACTTTAATTTTCTGTTGTAGTAATAATGGTTTTAATTATATTTTTATTATTGAATAGATAGATATTAAATAATGAAAAATATTGACTAGTATAAACGAATTTTACAAAATCACTAACGAAACACCGTGATTTCCATCAAATACCCACTATGTTTTTCATTTTCTTAGCTGGAGTATTATCAATTAAAATGAAGCAATATACGTTTTGCCATTGTTTTGTGTAAAAAAAGATTGTGCTAACAAGCAAAGCTCTTAAATCATGTTTAAAAAATGTCAAGTCTAATCGAAATATAATGTTAAATTATGCAGTTGTACAGTGTTCAATGAGTCTTGTGGCAGAGAATTAAATCATGGAGCAGTGGTGGGCTATGGTATCACGCATGATGGAACAACTATTGGATTACGAAGAACTTATGGAGAAACTAAATGGGGAGAGTGGATATAAAAGGATGAAGCGTGGGGTGGAAGCTGAGGAAGTATTATGCGGGACTGCTATGGAGGCTTCTAATCAAATCAAGTCGTCACCAAGTAAAATCTGAGGTACCTTCGAAGGCAATGAGAACAAAGATTAACTCTAAACACCTAATGCATCAATGCATGTCTCATGTCATCACATCTTTCTTATGAACATGATATGTGAGCAAATAAATATATCCATCCGTGAGAATTAAAACAACACTAAGCTCCCTTTTTAAAAGCCTTTTATATCATCCTAATAATTAAAAATATAAATTTGTAATATCCAAACAACTTGTAAATAACAAGTATGAGAAAGACAACAAAAATTATTAAGGAAAATTAAAATAAATAAGTTATTTTAGAGGGAAAAAAATGAAAGAAACAATAATGAAAGATATATTTCTGAAAAAATGCAAATAAGGTAAAAAAATTATAAATTAAATAATAATGAAAGAAATGCCTTTGATAATAACTGCCTAGGCATATTAAAATTGAGAATTATAAAAGGAACAGAAAGAAGCAGGGAGAGAGAGAAGGGAAAGATAGGTTGTTTGATTGCTAAGGAAAGCATCTTTGCGCAACGAACAGAATAACGATGGGACCTGCGTTGCATTTGCAGTGTTCAGTTTATAATTGAGAACTTGAAATGGGTGTAGCAATCAGCATTACCGACCATTCCCATTTGTCCATTCCCTCCTTTCACTTGGAATCAAAGTCTGCATCAACATCATCCTTTCCCTCACCAACACCTTCTTCTTCGTCCTTACTGCGCTTCTCACAGCGCTCTTCATGACCATGATCCTCTGCCTTATACTAGGATCTCAGTCGCAGATCCAACTCCAACAACGTTCACCGTCACCTCCACTTTTCCCCTCTTTCTCATGGACCCCTCTACTTCTCGTCCTGCTGTAGTCATCGACAATGGCTCCGGGTACCCTTTTCCTCCATTTACATCACCCGCCTTCTTTTCTACGCTTTCTTCTTGTTGCAATGCCTCAATGTGTTTTGTGACTACAATTTTCTGTAATATTGATTGACCCGAATTGGGTTTGCCCTGAATCTGGAAAATGATGGTTTTTTTGCAGGTACACGAAGATGGGGTTTGCTGGTAATGTTGAGCCATGTTTTATTGTCCCGACAGTGGTTGCAGTGAATGAGACGTTTCTAAATCAATCGAGGCCCTCTTCTAAGGCCAATTGGGTAACCCAGCACAACGCCGGGGTTATGGCGGATCTTGATTTCTTGATTGGGGATGAGGCGCTTTCCAAGTCACGATCAAGCAGCACTTACAATCTCAGCTACCCGATTCGGCATAGCCAGGTGGAGAATTGGGATGCCATGGAGCGCTTCTGGCAGCAGTGCATATTCAACTATTTGAGGTGTGATCCGGAGGATCACTATTTTCTCTTGACCGAGAGTCCATTGACGGCACCTGAGAGTCGCGAGTATACTGGAGAAATCATGTTTGAGACTTTTAATGTACCTGGACTTTACATTGCTGTGAATTCTGTGCTTGCTCTTGCAGCTGGCTACACAACATCCAAGGTTGGTAGTTGGTACACGTGAAAAGGATTGGGAATTACATCGAATATAGATTGAAATTGGATGATTAATCTTGAAAGGTTTAAATATTTAATATGGCCTCAGCAGCAAGTTGGGTAGTTATCTAAACGCAAAACATGTAGAATGTTTTACCAGCCCCTGCAACTTGATGTTCTGGATGCTTTCACTTGAAACAAAAAGTGGAAGACAATGTAGAGTGTTGATTGTTGTAAAGATTTTGCATTATTACAAGCGCACATGATAATTTATCAACTCTCCTCATTTTGTTGAATGTAAACTTCTATGTTGGTTCTATTTAAAACTTGATAACAGTACCAGTGGAGCTATTGGAAAAAATTGCTTCTTTTTTCTTACTATATCTATCTCTTATTTTAAAGAATATTTTATTTTTATGCTGATCTAGATTCTTTTAGTGTGAGATGACAGGAGTTGTAGTGGATGTTGGAGATGGGGCTACTCATGTTGTACCCGTTGCAGATGGTTATGTAATTGGTAGTAGCATCAAATCAATTCCCATTGCCGGAAAGGACGTTACCCTTTTTGTGCAGCAGCTTATGAGGGTGGGTGTGCCTGCTATTTTCCATATTTGAATATCTGTGAATTAGCAAACCTGCTTATGTTAATGTTGAAGGATCTCATATTATCATAATGCCATTGACACTAGCTAGTAAAACTATTCAGGTATAAATGGCTAATGGTGGATGAACAGGGCGTAATATATTTATGATAACATTATGGTGACATTTTAAATAGTTAATAAATAGAAGTGAAGTTTATATATTTCGTGATTGAGTATGAATCTTTTCATGTATTTTGCTATTTCTGCTACAGATATTGTAATAATCCATATCCAGTTGTCTATCTGCATTTTGATAATCATGATTCATGAACTGTCTCATGTTTACACGGTTTCTTTCAGGAAAGAGGAGAGAATGTACCACCAGAAGACTCTTTTGAAGTGGCTCGGAAAGTGAAGGAAATGTATTGCTACACCTGCTCCGACATTGTGAAGGTTGTTTTAGTTCAATACTTAGTGCTTTGACATCATTTGAAGAGTATGTGGTGCGCCTCTGCCAATAGTTTTGTGCCTCTGTCATTAGGATGCTGAATATAAAAAATTCTCACTACTTAAGCTTGCTTTTCTTTTTGTGAATTAAAAGGATGTAAAGTTATCTTTTGAACTTATTAGTTTTCCTATATAACAATAGCTCAATTTCTCCCAGGAATTTAATAAGCATGACAAGGAACCAGCCAAGTATATCAAGCAATGGAGAGGCATTAAACCAAAGACGGGGGCACCATATTCCTGTGATATTGGCTATGAACGATTTCTTGGCCCTGAGGTGTGTGCTATGGATCTTTAGATTTTCTCTATTATGAATTGCTAAATCTGTCTTAGAAGGTATCTGGATTGGAGATATTTTTATCTACTTTTTTTATACCTATTTTTAATATGATTTTTCCATTGTGAATGCCTGAACTTATCTCATGAACTAATTAATTAATTAAAGATACACTTGATTGATTCCTGACTTTGTTTCTTGAATATGTACCTGAAATAAAGGGGTGCATTTAGGAAAATAGTAAAAAATTAAAGTGATATGCATTTGATGTGCTCTGATATGGTGATACCTTCTCATTTGATGGTCAGAGTTATTTCCTTTTCCTTTTGGGTAAATAAAGAGGTCCAAGATCTGGTATGAGGAGTGGAAAGGAAGGTTTTAAGTGCAGGTAGTGTAGCCTGGCTGGGATTTGAACCTCTGATCAGCTGATCATGATTCAAATAGTCTGTAGTCTTGATATCACTTAGCTATTAAGTTTGTTCCTTAAAAGCACTGAAGAATTCATGAAAATGTAGTAGTGCCTTGGTGTTATTGTGGAAATAAACTATGGGTTCAGTTAGGGTCATCATATCTACTGGATTGGTCTATTTAACATATCTGTATGTTTTCCAAATGATTTCTGCAGATCTTCTTTAATCCTGAGATATATGGCAGCGACTTTACCACCCCTTTGCCAGTAGTAATAGACAAGTGCATTCAGTCTGCTCCAATCGACACAAGAAGATCATTATATAAGGTGAAGTATCTTTACTTATTGACATGCATATAGACATACCCCATGCGTGCCTTTAAATTTTAGTGAATAATCACATTTTCCCATAAAATTATGGAACTGCTATGGCTCAGCTTTAAGCATGAGGCAGTTTTTGTTGTTGGCTCAGATGTCATAAATTACTACCAAGCTGCATATCAGTCCACCAGCCGTCTCAGATACTTATTTTTGGATCTTATAAATTTCAAGCTCTCTAGTTTTTATTTTCTTAACGATCCAACTCTGAAGTATTTACCACTTGCAGACTTGCCAATTTTGTCTTCTTTTTTTTTTTTTTTAATTTCAGAATATTGTGTTGTCTGGTGGATCAACCATGTTCAAGGATTTTCACAGGAGGTTGCAACGTGATCTAAAGAAAATAGTAGACGCTCGAGTCCTTGCATCGGAAGCTCGTTTAAATGGGGAGATAAAAGTATGAGTTAATATATACTTTTAAACCTTGGAACTGATGATTCTCACCCCCTCCCTCTCACACACTCAGACAATAAATTCTTATATAAACTTTATTTATGTACACAAGTTGTATGGACTTAAAAACAACCAACAATCAATACATCATTATTTTGTATTTAAATAATTACATTAATCCCTTCTTTGCATAATTATTTTGGATTGAAATAAGGATGTGTTGGTTTTTGATTGGTTTGGTTACAGAATTTGGGCTGACAAAGTGTAAACAAGTCTCTCTCCCCATAGACAAAAAATTCTCTCGTTGATGTATTTATGTATGCCCTGACTGCTATATATTTATTGCCTTGCTTTGGCATTTACTTTTGTCATTTCATTTATGTGGAGCCTCAGTCACAGCCAGTGGAGGTAAATGTACTCAGTCATCCTATCCAGAGATTTGCAGTTTGGTTTGGAGGTTCAGTGCTTGCATCAACACCTGAGTTTTTTAGGGTATGTATTTCTGACGTTAATTTTTGGGGTTAAGAGACTCATGCTTGCATCCAGCAATCTCTACATTTGTGTTTAATGTGTTTCCATGTCATGACTTACAAGTACTGTGTCCAAAATGAAAGCAAAGCTAGCCTATGTTTTAAAATTTCTGCCCCTATGTGCAGGCTTGTCATACAAAGGCAGAATATGAGGAGTATGGAGCAAGCATTTGCCGGACAAATCCTGTTTTCAAGGGGATGTATTAAAGCAACGACAAATTAGTTGTGATCATGGATGCAGTTAGTTAATGAAAAAGCCAAATCAGTGTCTAGTCATTTTGATCCTCAATTCACCTCCTCGTCTTTCTTCCCACCTGTATCCAGGGTGACAGAAATGAGTGTAAAATATGTACATTCAGTGTAAAAAAAATTGCATTTCCAGTTTCTATTCCTGAGGTTCACCCTAGGCTGTCAGTTTCACATGTTTATTGTGGTTGCCAGCTTGTTCAGACGATACTTAATGGTTAGGTTGAAACCCATCTTTGACAAAAAGTTGGCTGAGCTGAATTGCAAATCTTGGAGCTTAGAGTTTGATAAGGTTCTGCATATTTTTCATTTACTATTCAGTATCTTTCCATTAAGTACTTTTACAGTTAGGAAGATAAATTCATTGGGATTGAATTGTAATACATAATAAGCACTAGTGCAGGGGTTAGATAATAGATTGCGATTATGTGAATCACTTATTTTAGGTACATGATGTACAATGTGGATTCTGCTTAATGATAATCAAAGCCTGAAACAATTCTTTTGTCACGATGACTATTTGTGATTTGTAGTGTACTTTCCTGTCAAGTAATTTGAAATTATTCTGCGATATATGACATATGCGGCCTTGCCACTTGAATATGCTATTCTCTTGTATGATCCAAAATAGAGTATATGTTCAAGCATTGTGCAAAAAAACAAACATCATTGGGATCGCCTTCAACGTTTTAAAAAAATTAATCGTTCAGTCGTTTGCAATTATAAATGTGGGACACTTTAAAATCTTTCTATTTGTATGAGTTACCATTTTAAAGGAATTAATTTGGGTTATCAATAATATGGTTTTGTTAAGAATTAATTTGGTACATTTATTTTTAAAGGGACTAATGATATAATAGGAGAGGAAAGAAAATTAATGACCGAGAATTTGAAGTGTTAAAGAACTAAATGGTTATTTTTTAAAAAGACTAAATTGTCTCTTGTATTTTTCTTTTTTAAGAATAAATTTGGACTATCTCTAAAATATTTAATCCATAAATTTATTGTATTAAAAATATAATAATTTGAGTACTTTTTTACTTAATGTAATTGAAAGTATTTAAGACAGTGCATTACATATTATTTAATTAATGCTCTATGACACTCAATAACAAACAACAAGAGAGGATTTCCCCTATTTTGGTGAGTTTATTAGGTTTCTAAAAATTTTACTTACTTGAAAATTAAATATAAATTTTTTATAAATCATGCCAATGAATATGTAGCCTAGCTTTTTTTATGATTCTTTAAAAATTTGAGGGGAGATGAGTTTTTTTAGTAAAGTTATAAAAATATATATATATTTTAAAATTTATCACTGGCAACTTTTGACAGTTTTTTTAATACATTTTTAATATTTTATTAATTTTAAAAATTATTATTGACAATTTTTTATTTTTTCAAAATTTTAATATTTTAAAAAAAATTATCAATTATTTACACTTTTTCAATCTTTTATCTTTCAATTTTTATAATTATACTAATTTTTAAATTTTATTTTCTTTAATTTTGTAAAAAATAATCATTATTCAGTATGTATAATTTCTAAGTATCCTATATAAAAAAAATAAAAATTTTAGGTAAGAGTGCATTGCTGTTATTTGTTTGGGGGAAAAAAATATTCATGTGCGGATAATGATAACTACACCTAGTACAGCTTTCCCTTTGGCACATTCTAATCAAACAAGCTAGTAGAGAAATGGAAATATATACCCCGCAGTTTCAAGTTGTACTATTTATTCTCATTAATGATAAATTTCTAGAGAAAATTAATTAATTTGACTTCAAAAAACTATAAAAATAAATACAATTATGTTAGCAAAATCAGCTAATTTAAATTCTTTGTGATAATATTTTCATGAATCTGTTGGGGAGTCCCCTCAATCTCTTTACAACGCAATTTCACAATATTATATTAATATATATTTTATCTTTTATTATTAAACATAGAAGGAAAGAAAAAAACACTGCAAATACAATCAAGTTATTCCAATTCAAAAATCTCAACTTTGGACGGGTGTTCATCATGGCTCTGTAGCTACTTGAACTTCATCAATTAATATATAACAACCAACCAAGTACACACAAAGAAGCTGAATAATGGTTAAGTATTTGAACTAAAATAAGATCCAATCAAAATCAAATAAAGTTAAATTTAAAAATAAAATAATAATATTATATTAATATTTTTTATATTCTTAATTTTATTATTATTAATATTTAATTATTTAATTATTATATTAATATATTATATTATAATTTTTTATTTATAATAAATAGAAATTATTTAAATATAAATTATATTTTATTCAAAATAAAAAAATTTATAAAAATATAATAAAAATTAAATATATAATAATAATAATAATAATAATAATAATAATAATATATAAGGTAACTCTTTTTTATTAGTATAAAATTTTTAGTCACAGTATCTATAAAAAAAAAATTTAGGATATCACGACACACTGCTTATATTAATCCCTGTCTTTTTCATAATAATAAGAAATAATTAATTTTGAACACTCCCATGACATTTTCTCATTAATTATTTTATATAATAAAGAGAAGTTCCCGGATAGTGGGAGTACAAACACAGTTGATTAATTAATTAATATCAGAAAGATCCATGATAATGATGCCATTACACATAAACAAAAATTTAAAAGAAAAAATAATTAATGCATGCATGGACATCAAGAAACTATTGTTTCTTTGCATGCAACCTATATGAAAGAATCCAAGAATGTGAATGGCACACAGATGATGTGAACTTAGAAGTAGAAGAATCCGGCTAGAGCCGCAGCGGCAGCAGCAGCTCCGGCGACGGCAGAGAAGTAGTGGAGGGAATAGGTGGCAGCGCTGGAGGCAGAATCCTTACCAAAAGCACCAGGAGGCACGGGTCCACCAATGGGTCCAGCCACAACACCGTTTGGTGAAAGAGCTTTGCCACCCTTGATTCCATCCAAGTATTCATCATCATCCCCATCATAGTCATCAGCAGAAGCACCTGGTGCACTTGCTTTATCCGCAGCACGTGCTAGGCCTATGATGGCGAACATCACAAGGGCCAGAACCACAAATTGCTTTGTACGTGCCATTTCAATTCCCTTTTGTTGTTGTTTTTGTTAATTATTAATGTCTGCAGTTTTTCTCTAAGCGAAGGGAAATAGAGAAAAACTTTTATTCTGGTGGTTGAAGAAGGGTCCTATGGGGAGGGTTTATATAGGTTATGGGGTGCATTGCGATGTTTAAGGAAAACCATTTACTACAGCTAACAGGTTTTGGCTATTTAGAGTAACTTATAATTACAATTGGAACGTGGTTCATGGTTCCTAGGTAACAACCCTTCTTGGCTTTTGTTTGTTATGGCTCTAATTATAGTACTGTGCTAAAGAAATCTTCACCTTTGAATGCGGGATTGTAGCAGAAGAATGACAATGTGAACGTAAAAATGGGGTACAGGGGTATACTGAGGGAAATGAGTGGATGGAATGTGTGTATCTGTATATATTACAAAGTTTTATATAAAAATTATTTAATATTTTATTAATTAACTTTATTATAACATTAATATTTTATAAAAATTATGAGATACTTTCCTGTGTATAATATTAAGTTCATCTAAAATATAATGTATATAGTTATGAATATAATATTAGATAATTTAATAATTAATTTTATCAAACTCACGCGGTTAAAAAAGATATTAAGTAAAATAAGTGTTGAAAGTTTATTCTAGATGATCATAGAGAGAGGAAAAGATGCTTTTTATAAATCATTGCCTTGAAGACAATAATTAAGAAATTAAACATTGATCAAATATTTTATTATAATTTTTAATAAAAATTATTTATTAGTTTTTAACAATTATTTTAAAGATAACAATAAACAGAACGATAATATTTTTTCTCCTTTTTGTTTGATAAAAGGTAAAAATTGATTTTGGTGACACCAAATGGAGATTAACACATGTTAATATTGTTTGGGAAATGGTACACATTTTCTGAACTCGTGCTATCTGCAAAAGGAAAAAGTAGGGAAGCATGTGTCCAATATAACTTGAACAAGTGGAAAAAATCATTCATAAAAACCACATTTTCCATTAGTTTTTTATGTCATAATAAGTTACTCTATTACTTTGATTTATAAAACTATTCCTTTAACCTCAAGTGAAAACATTAGAAATATTAGAAACTTGTTTGAGTATTTCACAAATGTTTTAAAGTTTAAATAAAAAAATATGAATGGAAACAAATTAAAGAGAATAATAGATTATCAAATTATTAATAATAAATATTAGTTTGTTAAATATGCATAAATTAAAGAGATAAAAATTGTAAAAAAATGAAAAAAACTAGAGAAGTAAATTATCCAAATTAAGACATGTCATCTTTGTTCATATAGTGTGCAAAAATTTAAATTGGAATTTATTAAAATTTTAATAACTTCAAAATTTTAATTTATCTAAAGTGAAAGATGTATTCAAAAGAAATAAAATTAAAGTAAATATTATAAATCATGTAACTTCACAACTTTTAAAAAAATAATTTTTAAAGTGAGAACCTGAATTTATAATATAGAAGTATATTACTATTTAATTAAGGATTGATCACTCTCATTGTGTCGTTTGTTTTTATGATGTTTTTTTTTTTTACTTAACTAAAGTGGATACGGACATTTTTAAGAAAGTAGAGAAGACGTTTCTAAACTTAATTTTGAAGAAAAGTAAAAATGAAAACAATAAATGAAACCCAATACATATATTCACACTTTGCTTGACTTAACAAGTATTCTATGCATTCAAGTAGTATTTTAAATTTAGGTAAAGTTTAATGTTAGTATTCTTTTGCAACACTATTTGAGTTCTCTAGAAGAATAACTATAGTGACATTTATATCTTTCACAGAATGATTTAATAACACTTTTTTTATACGAATTTGGTGATGTTTAAGTCTTCAAAAACTTATATAGTGATAAATTGTTGTAGCCTCCCTAAATGTTACTTACCATCATGAAATTTATACGACCATCAAGTTGAATGCCTCCCTACCACATCTCAAGAGTTGATTTTATCTTCGTTCTTTAATTTCAAAAATAAATTTTAGTTTTAACTACTATTTTATCCATTTTTTTAAATATTTTTATCTTTCTTCAATTATAATATACTATTCAATTATCATACATAATTAAATACTATTTATCTATAATATCATAAAGTTTTTATTATAAAGTAAAAATAAATTTTATAGATCAATAATCTAAAAAAATAGTAATAAATATTTAATTATAAAATTGATTCACAATTTTAATTACAATCATAATGTGTGTATATGTATGTGTAATTAAAATTAAAATAATATTTTTTTTTATACTTTATCAATATAATATTTTTACACTTTCAACTAATTACAATGTAAGATAAATATAAATCCTAAAATAATTAAAAAATAAATAGTTTTGGTTTATATAATATGTGAATAAATGATAATATTTTTTATATTAATATATTTTAATACTTTTTAAAAAAATTACCAATATGATTTTTAAAAATAATTTAATTATTAATTATTTTAAATAAAAATACTCTTATGCGGAAATTAATCGTAGTTTTTCTAAAGTGAGAGAAAATAAGGATGTATCAACCAATTACGAGATGTTCTAATTCAAATAAAAATATAGTTTTTATGGACCTTTTTTACACATTGTCACTTTAGATCAATAAAATCCAATCATTAAAAACAAGTTAGTGATAACGAGTGAAAACTAAATTAGTAAATTTCACCAACTTTGTCTAAGCAAATTATCTTATAATAACCAATTCAAAAGTCAAGACAACTAAGCTGTATATGAACCTTCACCAATTTCAGCTATCAACCTATAGTTGAAGCCCAAGATATCTAATATCAACCACAGAATATAACAGTAACTGTGGATGAGAGGCCTTTGTTAGCTGTTGCCTAGCTTGGACCTTATCTATGCATTCTTTGATTCTATTTACAGAATAAACAAGGGACTAAAACACTAAGTGCTATGCATGGTGTGCATAAATTGGATGATGCATGTTGTAAGGAATTGGGGGGCACTGGCACACACAATTAGCACACACAATTAACCAAGATCAATATCAACCCTCTCTGGCTTTCCCCTTTCAGTCTGGTTGGCAACAAGCTCTACTCCTAGTTGTCCTTTGTCTCCAGCCCCAAAGGCATACAGCTTCCCTGATTCAGTTAGTGCAAAGGTATGTGCATTCCAATATATGGAATTGGTCAGACTAATCTGTACCACCCTTTCATTGACCTGTTTCAATGAAGTCACAAGCTCTGGACTTGACACATTTGCATACCTGTTTCCCTGCACAAGTCCAAACATATCATTGTTCATTAACTTCATTTAATTTAGGATTTTTTTATTGAATAATTTTTTTCATAAATCATCTACCTTATAGAAAGATTAAACTTCAATGGAATGCACAATAGTCACCAATATAAAATCTCATTTAGGTTTGTGGTACTTGTGCCCTGGCTATAGGGGCTTTTATAGGAAAATGTGGTCAAGAGTTCACTATGCGCTTTGCACATGAATCAAATAATGCAATGCAAGTCATCATTCAGATTTGGACATAAATTAACACATAATGCATAATATGATTTTAACAAGGGCAAACTTCAACTGGATGCTTCATTCTAAAACCGCTTCACATTTGGAACTCATCTACAAGTTCCAATTATTGTAAAGCAGTAACCACTTCATGGTGCAAAAATCAGTGAAGGCCACTTCTTTTGAACCAATCCAAACTAACAAGGAAAAAAAGAAGGAAGCAAAGAAGACCTGTTCATCATTTCCAGGGTTATGGCCAAGACTAGCAGATTCTCCGCAACCAAATGAATAAACGTCACCATTATCAGATACTACAAAGGTGGTATAATCTCCTGTAGCAACATGAACTGCTTTGACATTTTTCAATGCCTCCACCACCTTGGGCACTGATTCACATTCTTCATTTCCATGACCCAAGCAACCATAACGGCCCCATCCCCATGTGCAAACACGGCCATCCTGCCCCACCACAGCTGCATGCCAAGCACCAGCAGCAACCACCATGGGCTGAAGGTTTAACAGCTGAAATTGTTCAATCAAACGTGGATACTTCTCATCAGTTCTTGAGCCGTGTCCAAGCTTCCCACCCAAGCCACATCCAACAGAGTACACTGACCTGAGAAGATTTCAGAGAAGGATCACATAATCAATAAACATAACATACAGATAGATATTACTTATTACTCATCAAAATGATAATGAAATGAAATGTAAAAACTAGTTTACTTAAGAATAAAAAATCATCACACTTTCATAAATATTGAATTTGTGGATTTGTATTGCACATACATGTAAGAAATTGAAAAAACAGAATGGAAGATATGTGTTGACAGTTACTTTTTCACCCCAGCATGAAAGAGTGCCCAATTTGTAGCATATGATATAGCTCTCAATTCATTTCTTGTGAAAAAAAAAATGCCATAGTGAAGATAAGGAGACAGTTGGAGCTCACATTCCACTGGGTTGACAAGCCAAACAAAGCAGGTAGCAGAATCCAGCAGCTATTTGCACTACAGGTGTGTGTTCCAGAGCTCCTAATAAAGGGCGGGGTTCCACATCATTTGGATCAGTGTGGTGACAGAGTTTGCCATCACTACCCCAAGAAAATGTAAAAACCCTGCCTTCTCTTGACAGTACAGCTGTGAAATAATTTCCAATTGCAGCTTGCACAACAAATATGTTTCTCAAAGACTCGACTAACTGCGGACTAGTAGCCATTTTAGATCCTTGAATTCCAAACTCAGCTTCACCAAAAGAGTCTTTCCCAAAAGCATAAACCTTCCCAGAATCACTGATCAACATTGTCCTCCCAGCCCCAGCAGTAGCTTGTATTATTCTGATACCTTGCAAAGCTCTGCAACATAATGGAGTTATGTTAACTTCAATTCAACAAGTTCACTTTCCACTTTTCCTTAAGCTTACAGTAAAGGAACTATGGAATGTTCAAATGTTCCAACCTGATTGGTCGAGGTTGCCATTCCTCTTCAGTGGTGCCATGCCCAAGTTGTCCTGAACTATTAGACCCAAATGAATAAACAACCCCTTTTGATGTCACAGCAATGCTATGACCAGGACCTGCTATTGCCTGTGATTTCTCCCTTCTGCAACAAGCTTCTCCAGCCAGCAAAAACCTCAAAACCAATTTCCAAGAACCACCACATCTTTGCTTCAAATGTTGTCGTTGTTCTGTTGTCAGTGGCTTAAAAATGGCCCTCTTCTGGCACATGTCCAGCGCGGCAAGCTCCGACAACGACAAATTGAAATCCGGAGCAAAGTTTGCTGGCTGCCTGAAGAAGGAGCATGTTGCCTACAAAAGCACATGATCAGAAATGAAACCAGAACCATTAGAATTAGTACTATTAGTATTCAATTAGCAACTCAAAGGCTTAACTGCAGACAAGCACAGCACTTGCCTCTAGTTTAGCAAGGTCTTGTGGATACAAATTACATGCTGTAAGGACATGAAGGACAATGGATGGATTAGCAGACAAAGGAAACTCTCCGGGACCGGAGTTTCCGAAGCAATGGCGTTGCTGCCGTTGAAATGTCGGCAATTGTGTGGCAGTAATTGGCTGTTCAGGGATGTCATGGTATTGGATAGTTGGGGTTCCGCTTGTAGTGGCATCCATGGGCACTGCCAACCTTACACAGTGCCCAAATTTTGAAGAAGAGAGGATCTAACACTTCTGGGAATTACCAAAATATGTGCAAATGTATTACTACATCAATTCATTATTTCTCTGCTTCTCTAACTGTTATAGTATCTGAAACTCTACACATTGTTCTAACTTACAAAAGTATGTACCTCAAAAATATATTTGACTAGCAACTCTCAGGTCTCAAACCTACAAAGAAAAACATGCTTATAAAAATATGTGCCACAATTTTTTTTCTTAACACAGCTTAATTACACGATTATCTGTCTCTATTTAGTATGGCATTATAAATCAAAGGCACCAGAAGTCATGCATTTACACCAACAGAATCATGAAACTGATGATCATCAGAAAGAAAAATAGATTTTACTTTTCACAAATACCAAACTAAAAATTGTTTCATAAAACACTTGATCAAGATGACCCGTATGAGGAAAACTGAGGATGATGAAAATAAGGTGAAAAATCCAGAAAAACTTTGAGAAGTATAATGTTCCCAGATGATGGGATATTCTACAATTATACAAACAAAAGAAACCCAAAACAAAAAACAAAAAATTCTGATCAAAGGTGAAATCTTCGTTCACGTGAACTCATCGACACTCATCAAAGGTTGATCGTCACAATCAAAATGAATCAAACAACAAAAGTCTTCCTCCATGTAGAAACCAAAAAAAAAAAAAAAAAACTTTTTTTTTTTATTTTGACTTTCCCAGATCAGGGAATAACAAGTAACCCGATGAACAAGTACACTTGTGGAATACGCAACCATAAAAAGGAGAAAGTAAAACCCAAAAAATTATACAAAAAAAAAAAGGTTTGGGTGAATGGCACATGGAAACGTTATAGATCGATGGAAAGGCACATGGAAACGGTGATTACGTGGGAGAGGCATCAACAACGATTCCTCAAACTGAGTCTGCACCATCGGTGGAGAATTGTACAGAAAGTTGCTATTTTTTTTGTGAAACAAAGAAGAAGTGGGTATCTGATGAAATGGCGTAGTGGTAACAATCAGATTGAGAGAAAGAGAAACGCAGAGAGAGAAAGAGAGAGCAGAAATTTTGTATAGGTTTTGAGAGTGAGTGGATGAATCAATAATTTTCTAGTTTTATACTATAATTATTATTTTTATTTTTTTGTTCTGATGAAACCATGATGAAGATGAGGTGTCACTTTTACTACGTACCAACTAGCAACAATTCTCGGTTCTTACTGTTCAATATCGATCTTATGTATTTAAAACAGTATATTTTTATAAAAAAATATTAATCTCAGTTTTAAAAAGTAAGAATAAACAATTGAAAGTAATATTTTATTAAAAATTTTATCATTTTAAGAATAAAAATAATATAATAAATTTTATATTTTAATAATTTTATTATTATATATTTAAATTTAATTTTAAAGACTGAAGTTAATAAAATTATTTTAAAAATAACAAATATAATAAATATTTGAAAAGAAATACTATTATTTGATATTTAAATTTAATTTAAAAGAAAATTTTGTTATATAAAATATATTTTAATTTTTGACAATTATATTTTATATGAATTATAGTTTTTTAAATTGTTTTTTCGGAATGTTAAAATTATTAAGCATATCTAATATATTATTATCTTTAACTATAAAAAAGTATTTTTAATATATCAATTTTTTTTTTATAATCCTAGCATCATCCTTTAAGAGCCGCGAATAAACAACTAAAAAAGGTTTTTTTATTAAAAAAATAATTATCACCTTCACATATAAAAACGCCTTCAATATTATATTTTTTAATAAAATAATATTTTTAAATAATTAAACTTAACTTTTATAAAATAAAATTACAAAATCAGTTTTTTTATTTATTTATTACAGGGTCTTTTTACAAAAAAAAAAAAAAACCCACATGTATTACTATTTTAAAGTCAGCAATCTATTTGATAGACTTGCCTAAAAATGTTAAAAAATAAATAAAAGTTTGAATATTAAAATTAAAGATTCAAATGAATTTAGACGTTTTTAATTTGTTTTATTTAAACTCAAATCCAAATGAGTTTGAGATACATTAATCTCATTTGCAGCCTGCATTAATTTTTTCTGGCAAATAAATATATTTTTAAGGTAATATTTATTTTAAATTAAATTTATTATTTATAAATTAAAAATATTAATTTTTGTATATTAAATTTATTAATAAAATAATAATTAATTTTGTATTATAATAACAAAAATAATGATGATGAAAGTAAGGCAATATAATAAAATATATATAAAACTTTTTCAGTTTTATAATTGAGAACCTAATTATTATATTCGTTTTGAGCAATTAAAATAATCTTAAGTGTTTATTTAATTTTTTAATGAAGTAATCTGATAATATTTTTATTTTATATCTATGTGATAATTATTTGATGTTGTAAATTTTAATGCACTTAAAAATATATTTTTAATATAAACTTTTTTTATTTTTAATACATGTTAAATAGGGGAGTTGCATTTCGGCCAATTCTTTCAAAATTTGTACTCCTCTGCCAGCTCCAATTCTTTCAATGTCTTAATATTTTATTTTAATTATGACATGTATCCACTTCTTTTAACAAGGTAAATCCTTCTGTAATCTGAAAATTGAGAGAGTATCTTATATTCATGTATACGTAGAATAATTATAAGTATTAATTTTAATTTTAATAATAAAGTTAGTAGTATATTTTAAAAAAATGTAAATATTCTTTAATATTTTAACATAATCTAGACAAAGTCTTTAATATATCTTCAAGTTTAAGAGCACCACAGCAAACAGCAAAGACTTTTTACCAATACTATAATATATTAAAAAAATATATATTTTGAAATTTCAAAGTCTAATCTAGGAATCCTAGTTATTTGAGCAACATTTTTTGTGTGTGACTTTAATACATGCTTTATGCTTTAGATGAAGATCAACTTTTATACATTATATGATTTCCTAAAATTAATAAAAGAATAAATATTTTATTATTTTAAATAGAATTATATTAAAACAAAAAATGAACTTTTCAGTACTTTGTTAGCTTTTTTGATTTTTTAAAATAGAGTATTTTACAAGCTTACCTGCAAAGGATGAAGGGTGTATGCCTTTTAAGGGAAATATATTTTGAATTATCGAATGAGGCACTTAAGGGTGTCTTTTTTTTTTCTTTTAATAAGATGCAGTTTTAATTTCTCTTACCTTTCATAAATCAGATATAGTTTTGAGAACAATGTACGGGAAAAAAACAAATGATAAAAACGACCATATATAGTTATACAATGTCAATTTTAGTGATACAAGCAATAAAATTATAATGTTTTAAATTAATGTAAAATCATACATAAGAAAAATAAAAAAAAATAATTTTATTAAAAGTAATAATATTTAACAATATAACTACATTAATTTTTTTTTAATAAAAATATACTTTGTATAATTTATTATCACACACACAATATTATGTATGTTAAAAAAATTAATTGATAAAACAACTTTAAAAGCGAGTTTGCAAAGTATGAATGTATTGTCACCAAACGAAGAAACATCTGTAATCATCCCTAACTTCAAAACTAAATTAAACATTATCAATATCATCATCGTAAAACCTTTATTCATTTAAGGTATGTCAAAGCATTTGCTACGCCTGCTTAACATTGTCCCAAATTTGTCACCTCTTTTCACATCGTAGTTTTATGTTCATTTTTCTCTGTTAAAAGTTTCATCACTATCTTACTTTCAAAACGAATAGTGATAAAGATATGTATGTTTTACTCTTAATAAATTACAATAAGTCATAATTTAATTAATAATATACTATTTTTAATTTTATTTATAAGAAGTAAAAAATTATTTCTTTAAGATTAATAAATATATAATCATATCATAAAATTAGACTATATTTTAGAATTACACGTAATATTAAATGGCCCAATTAGTTACTTACATACTAAATAAATAAATATATCTACATATATAAGAAATGGATAAGCATTTTACTAATATAAATTTTACGATAGATAATAGTATAAATTTTTTTTGAGATTAACACATCTAAAAATAAATATTTATTTCTATAATTAAAATTAAAAAATGTTAATAATTATTTTTTTTGTTCGTTCCAAACCAAAATCACAAGAGTCACGTTGGAGAATAGGACTTCCATTCTCCCCTTTTAGGCATTAATAGGATAGGAACCGGAAGCCCGATTAACTTGGGCCAAGGACCCAGCTATTTTATTAACCATAATGTCTGGAGGCCCATTTTAATTGGGCCAATCCACCACATGTCTCAGACTCCCAAAAAAAAAGAAACCATAGGATTCTACTTTTGATAACGACTTAACGTGGCGTCAAACACTCAATTCATTAATCTAAAGAACTTTAATTTTCATACACTTCACTTATACAAAATTTCTATCTCACTTTCACTTTTTTTTATAATTTTTTCTTCCTTTCATAACATTCGCTCTTTCATTTTTGTTTTCTTATTTCATTATATATATATATATATATATATATATAAACATTTTCCCAATCTAAAACAAGCGATAAGAAAGGGAGGAACATGAGGTCCAAATCTCATCCAATGCACTGTTAGGATAAGAGGAGAATCTAGAATGCACAATACCATTGGACATCAATTCTCCGACGTGGCTTTTCCAAATATATTCCAAACGCAGAATGCTAACCGCATTCCTCCTCAGCTGCAAGAAATCAACACCACGTCACAAGGTTCACCTCATCATCAATGGCATCAACAATAGCAGCAATGGCAATGATCAACACAAAGTGCCTCAACACAGGGTCACCAAAGTTCCCAAACCCCACCAAGCTCATAACTTCGAAAAAACCCATTTCCCTTCTTTCCCTTCAGAACCTCCCAAAGGGCATGGCATCAAGAAAACCCACAGAAAACACAAAACTTTCAAGCCCCATAACAGGCACAGCAATTGCAGGAGCCATTTTCTCAACACTTGCAAACTGTAACGCCGCTTTTGCTGCGCAGCAAATAGCTGATATAGCTGAAGGCGATAACCGTGGGCTTGCACTGTTGTTACCCATAATTCCAGCCATAGCTTGGGTTCTGTTCAACATTCTGCAGCCAGCACTTAACCAACTGAACCGCATGCGCAGCACCAAAGGGGTGATGATTGGGTTGGGTCTTGGGGGGTTGGTGGGTTCAGCGTTGGTGTCAGCACCAGATGCTTCGGCTAGTGAAATTGCTGCAATTGCTGAAGCTGCTAGTGACAACAGAGGACAGCTTCTTCTCTTTGTGATAACACCAGCTATACTTTGGGTGCTCTACAATATTTTGCAGCCTGCTCTCAACCAGCTCAACAGAATGAGATCCGAGTGATTTCCTTATATAATTCAAATAATAGGCTCTCTTTTTTCTTCTTCTTTTTGTGGGGGTGTATGCAGTGGGATCTCATACATCAATTCTCATGTAACTTGTATCTAATGCTATATTTCCTTTTCCTTTTTTGTCTTGCCCTTCTATTTATTCTGTTCCTAAGCCAGTTTTTTTCTTCTTGCTGCAACTGATATGCTGCCTGAGATCTGATTTATCCATACCCGTGATTGAATATTGAATATTGAATTTATGACAAATTTGACACTTTTTTTTTTTTAAATCTTGCATAAAATTCTCTTAATTTTTATAATAAAATAATATTGTATGATTTTCTTAATTACATAAACTATTTTAAATAAAATTTGTTAAACCTTGTGGATAATGAATGTAATTTGCCCTTGACTCTATACGTTCTTTGCGGTTTCGAAAAGGCTTTTAGAATCGATTGTAATACTTGGCATGTTGCTTTGCACCTAAGCTGTGATAACAACTTGAAACAGGAAACAGAAAAGAGAAGGAAGAAATTAAGGCAAGAATGCAGAAATATAAAAAGAAATTTGAGATACGTTTAGTAGCCACCATGTTGTTTTGCTAATTTCTTGTATTCATATAGATAGTTACCACCAAACATTCCATTTCCATCAAACCACCCACTTGCCTTTGTTTAAGAGACATAAAACAGAAAACACGATGAATCAACAATAATCACTGGTGAAATTGGGGTCCAAAGAAGTACATTCAATGACAAAGGCAACCAAGGAAAAGAAAACACCACGGTGTAGTGTTAGAATCACCACGAACATAGATGATTTAGAGGGTGTTGAAACACTTGAAGAGGGGAAGTAAAATTGACTGAAAATAACTTATGACTGTTTTGGTTTTTAATTTTTAAAAATTATATTTTACAATAATTTTAAAAACTGTTTTTAAAAAACAGAAAACAAATAAACTCTTAATTTCTTCTCCTACTCTCTCTTTTATAAGATATTAAATTAAATATAATAAATATATTTTTTAATGATATATGCTATCAAATGTGATAAAACTTACTAAGCAGTTTAAAATAGTAGAATTAGGGACCAACTACTGTGACTGTAATATATATTGTTATTGGACAACCTACAAAGGCAAGGCAGAGTGCAGTTTAACGAGTTTATTGGTTCTTTTAGAAAATGATGACATTTTTACTGAATTAGGATTTTATCCATATAGCGGTGTATGCTGCAAATCTAGTTCTAGGAAATTATATTTTTAAAAGTTTGTTAATATGGCGGTTAGAATTGGCAAGTAGGAAGGAATTGATTCTGTTATTTTTGGTTATGTCTCTAGTAACATTTATTTTTAATTTTTGTTATCATTGTATTGTATAAAAATAGATCATACATAATCAATGATATATATAGAGAGTTTTATTCATCTTCTTTTAAAAACTTCTGATTCTTATATTCTAACATTTGGTATCTTGAGCTTTAGGTTCATGATCCACCATTGATTTTCACTGTGAGATTTGATTAAAAACATTAGTGACTGAGAGACGTTTGTTCAAGTTGTTCTTGATGGAAAGAACTAGGTAAGATGGAGGGTTCAAATGAAGACTCTTTTCAGGTTTCAAGAAATATCTAAAATTGTCGAGGAAAGATATGTTGAATTGGAGAAAACGACTTCTAAAGCTCATAAACTTTTGTATAAGAAATGTAAAAGTGTAGATGAAGCCGACTTTGAGAAGATTGCCACTGCCAAAACAATCATGGAAGCTTAGTGCATTTTTGAGAAAGCTTATTCTGGTGATGTCAAGCTAAAGAAAGTAAAGTTATAGACATTGAGGTGGTAATATGAATTGCTCCAGATGGAAAATTTCAGAAAAAGTAACTAACTATTTTACTCATGTTCTTACAATTACAAATTTAATGAAAGGTTGTCGAAAAAACCTTAGAGATCAAATGATAGTTGAGAAAATTTTGAGATCTCTTTCTTCTCAGTTTGACTACATAGTAGTTGCAATTAAAAAGTCCAAAGATCTTGAAACTTGAAAGTAGAAGAGCTTCAAGGATCTTTGGAGGCTCATGAGTAAAGATTGAATGAAAGAAACTCTAAGAGAGTCTCAGTTCAAGCTTTGCAAGCACATTCTACAAAGTCAAAGGAAAAAGAAAAATGGAATTCCATGAAAGAACGTGAAGAATTTTCAGGTAGTTATAAACAAAAGGAATGGAAGAGAGGGGAAGAAGTTTGATAAAAAGAAGGTGCAATGCTATAATTGTAGTAGATATGGACGCTTTGCAAGTGAGTTTCGTGACAAATAGAAAAATAGAAAAGTAAAAAAAGCTGATGAAGCTAATCTAGTAGAAGATAATATTGATTCAGACTTAGAACAAATCCTTTTGATAATGACAAAAAAATCAAATATAAAAGAATGTGAGACATGGTATCTTGACATGGATTGTTCAAACCACATGACAGGAAACAAGCATTGACTTATAGATCTAGACACCTCAAAAAATAGTATATTAGATTTGCAGATAACATAGACATAAAGTCTAAAAGAATTGGAAATGTTGTGATCAATAGGAAGGATGGGAGGAATGTCATAATTAGTGATGTCCTTTATGTTCCGAACATGAAAAGCAACTTGTTGAGTTTCAGACAGCTGCTTGAAAAGGGATATTCAATGAAGATGGAAGATGGCATGATGAGGTTATATGATCAGAAGGAGAAACTCATTCTAAAGGCTACAATGTTAACTAATAGTACATTCAAGATTAATTTTAAGGTAGCTGAAATGCAATTCATGGCAGTAGTAATGAATGACGACACTTGGCTTTTGCACTTTAGGTATGGGCATTTGAAATTCAATAGTTTAAATAAGCTTGTTACTGATTGAAATGGTGAAATGAATGCCTTTGATCAAACCACCAGCAAAGGTTTGTGCAGGTTGTATAGTTGGTAAATAACCTAAAAATTCTTTCAAGCAATCAACATCTCCTAGAGCTACAAGTTCACTTGAAGTTGTGCTTTCAGATGTGTGTGGACCTCAAGTGCATTAAAATCTTAAGAACAAATGGTGGTGGAGAATACACCTCAAATGAATTTGAAACTCACTGTGAAAGGAATAACATAGTATATGAAGTTACTGCACCATAATACCATAGCACAATGGCTTGACTGAGAGAAGAAATAGAACTCTTATGAATATAGTGAGAAACATGTTGAAAGAAAGAAAAAAACCTTCCAAAGGAGTTATGGGGTGAAGTTGTCACTACAACATCTTACATTCTAAATAGATCTCCAACAAAAAAACTGCATAAGATGACACTTGAAGAAGCTTGAACAGGAAGAAAACCTCAGCTTGTACACTTAAGGGTATTTAGTTTAGTGTGCTGGAAATATGTCATTGATGAAAGGAGAAAGAAGTTGGATGACAAAAGCACAAAGGTGATACTTGTTGGTTACCATCCCACAGGTGCCTACAAGTTGTATGATCCAGTTACAAAGAAAATTATGTTCAGCAAAGCAAGTTTGAGATGAATAAATTTGAAAAGCACCAACATAGAGAAATTCCAATGTTTACAGAAGATAATCTTGATGATAATGTCATTGAGACAAGAGGAAGCAGTTGTATGACTGGACAACCACAAAGACCATAAAGAGTAATTCAACCTTCAGTAAGGTTAAGTGATTATTGTCATGACCTATTTTTATAAAGGGTCAATGACATTCTGTATCACTATTCCTGATTTTATTATTTACTCATAGGATAATGTACGCGTAGATTAGAGTATAATTATTTTTTTTTAAATTTACTTTTCAGTGTCTCAATCAACAAAATAACAATGCTCCGAAGGCATTTTTATACAACCTAAGAATTTACATAAATAAGTTTATACATATACAAAAATTTGCTCTACTAGGAGCTCAACACACAAGTTCTCGAATAATAATAATTTCATTATTGAAAACTCTAACTAAATAATTTAGACCCATGACTTAAACCTAGACTATCAAAGTAAAATTACAATCTTCACCAAAAATTTTGACTTCATGCTTTTCTCAGTCAAACCTTCCAACATGATTAGTAGCTACAGAACCTGTCACATCTATTCACGTATCATAATACGATCATTGTCACACACACACATACCCCTAATACAGACAAAATAGCAAGGGTGAGCTTACAAAAAATAGTTATAACCATTAAATTATGTAAATTTATTTATATTAAATTACCAACACAATCATTAGATCAGCTTATTATTCAATAATTCTCCATCACCTTACTTAGCAATACAATCCCTTTTATTAAATCACTGAGTGTCGACAACTACTATGATGACATCAAGAACAACATCAACAACATCAACGTCATTAAATCTCTACACAATAATTATAACAACAATTCAGCTATATTCAGCATTACAACATTAGTAAATCCAGAAGAAACTTACCACTCAGTACATTAGCTTACCACTCAGCATATTTACCTACCACTTAGCATATTAGCCTACCACTTTTCCATACTATTTCAACAACATCATATATTAAACAGTTAAATACAACTGTCATAATACTTAATAATCATTTTCAGCATATTGTATAACTATATTTCAACAATTATTTTGAATATAAATAAATTTATATATTTCACACATCAAGCAATAAAACTTTATCATAACACTTCAGACTCAATATTCTCAACGCATATATCATAGTATTTCAGCATATTACATCTCATTATCGCATCCTAAGTACTATTTAGCAACGGAGAAATTCACTCAGATACATTATTCTAAGTTTTAAACTATGGTTTGATAATTCAACAATGTGTTCTCGGCTAACACCAAATTAAACTCCTAGAGAATTCAGCGTTTAGTAGACAAACAAGCTAACTCAAATAAGCACCCCTTACCTGAAATAAATTTTCCTTAGATCAAACTTCACGTGGGTCCTCAATGAAAGAAACAATGCTCGCGGGTATAGATTTCCTTACTAGCAAGAGTTTGAGACTTTAAAGAAGAAGAACCTAAGAAATAAAACCCAGAGTTAAAATTAAGGTCTCGAGACCTCACCTAGATCCACATAAACAATGGTTCCCACTTTGATTGGGAAAAACTTCAGCCTTGAGAAAGTTCTGTAAGGTGAGATGATGAGAGAACAGAGAGAAAATGAGAGCAGAAAGCTTTCTAGTGAGAAATAAATGTTTCTGGACGTTGAGGCTCCTTAAATACCCCTCCAGCTCGCGTACTCTCGCTTGAGCAAACTAATTCTCGTTTGGGTAA